TCCCCCATTGGGGGGAGATGGGTGGGGACAAGTTTAATAAATAAATAAATAAATAAATAAAATAACCAATAAGAATGTTAAGTTCATAACCAGGAGCTTTCAAAAGCTGAATTTTCTAGGTTTATAAGTTTAGGATTTTCATAGGCCAGAAATTAAGCCAGCAACAGCATACTTGGTGTACAGAAATTGTTGGGTAAGTCCTGGTTATCTTTCATCATGATCTGAAGCCCAAACTATACAAAGAGGTGTTCACTTAAGAATAGACATTAAGAGCTAGATGGAGGTACAACTTGCTAACTGTAATGAGAAGTTACTAAGTTCTAGGAGACAAACACTAATCTGATTTGCAAGAATCCCTGCCTTTGAGTTGAGCACAATTAACATTCAGAATTTTTATTATTATTGTTTCTCTTTATAATTATTACTGCTTTCAGCAAGATGCTTTATATTTCTTTCGATTACTAAGGCCAGCAGGCTAGAAGAAATATTATAATGTTGTCTCCATCCAAATTCCTACAATAGTTTTTTTTTAAAAAGGCATGGTTTTGAAAGCCGAACCTGTGCATTATCAGACAACGTGCAACATGAATGAAACTATTCAGGAAAAGTGCTGAAAAGTTATATGGCAAAACTGTGGCATGTTGGAAAGCACACCTTCCCACAAACACTTTACATTTATTTCAGTCACTACTGGAACAACGAACATTAAAAAGTTTGCTGGCCAAAGGCCATAATAAAGTTAAATTGAACATAACAAATGTATACCTGACATATTGGAATGCTCTGGTTTGAGTGCCAGGCCCATATACCTGGAAGAAGTAAAACTGACATAAATATGCATAGTAAAGATATCACTTTGTAGTGACATGCAAGTACCACTCATCTATCCTCATGTGTTTGTCCTGATCTACCAAACGATTATCTGAGGTTAGATGGAAAATAATCTTATTACACACCACTTAAGAACATGTTAATTTTTCACGAGGCTCATGGAGTGCCATCAACAGGCTTCCCAGGTAGTTTTCCATTCATAGCCAAACAAATCTATTTGATGGCTGGTGTGGGTCTTCCGGGCTGTGTGGCCATGTTCTGGAAGTTTTGTTTCCTAACGTTTCGCCAGCATCTGTGACCGGCATCTTCAGAGGGCAGGAGCACAGGCAGGAGCAGTTCTCTCTGTGCCCAGTTAGGAAACAAAACTTCCAGAACACGGCCACACAGCCCGGAAGACCCACACCAGCCATCCTAACTCCAGGTACA